AGCGGCTGTAGGTAACACTAGACAGCTCTACAGACTAATAAAAGAAACTGGAACTAAGAAGTCAAGTGTGAGACTATCTCGGTAAAAGATGACACTTATCAGCTCTTAGTCCAGACGTTTACAACGATGGGCGGGACACTTTAAGAAGCAGTTCAGCTGGCCTTCAGCTACTCTACAACTACCCTCCATTCCCAGACAGTGTGAATGGAACATTGAAGTAGGTCCCTCAACTCTTGCTGAAGTTCAAAAGGCTATAGCTAATCTGAAACGAGGAAGGGCAGCTGGTCCAGATGGCTTGGCTCCAGAGGTCTTTAAGCATGATGGTCCAATTTTAGCGATTAGGTTGACTAATATTTTAGCTAAGATCTGGGAGTTAGACGTCATTCCATCTGACTAGTCACAATCACTTATCGTCCCAATATATAAGAGAGGGTTAAAATCATCTTGTGACAACCATAGAGGGATTAGTTTGACTAATATAGTATCTAAAATACTAGCCTCGATAATTATCAGACGCCTAACTAAGACTCGTGAACTGCAAACACCAGAGAATCAAGCTGGCTTCAGGCCTGGTTGTGACTGCATCGACCACATATACACCATTCGTCAGGTTCTAGAACATAGGCAAGCTTATCGGCGTCCGACAATGGTGGTCTAACGTGACTTCAAAGCAGCATTTGACTCCGTAGACCGCGAGATTCTGTGGCCTTGTTTGTCATTGAAAGGCGTACCTCAGAAGTACATAAACTTATTGTTTAACTTCATCATAGACCTACTGATGGAAATAACGCTCTCATCGACTGAATTTTCGGGCATTGATCTCGCACCAGGAGGTCCACTTATCGACTTAGAATACGCAGATGATATAGTCCTGTTTGGTGAAGACGCTGATAAAATCCAGTCATTTGGTAGCACTAAGCAACAATGCCAGAATGTTTGGAATGTGCTTCTCTCCCTCTAAATGCAAGTTGTTGCTTCAGGACTGGCCTGCGTCAACACCTGAACTAAGGATAGAAAGTGAAGTAGTCGAACGCGTTGACAACTTCACTTATCTTGGAAGTCTGATCAGCCCTAATGGGTTGGTGTCTGACGAAATCTCAGCACGGATTCGAAGAGCTCGTTTGGCTTTTACCAACTTAGGTCACCTATGGTGAAGGCGAGATATCCGTCTATCAATAAAAGGATGAGTATACTGCGCGGCAGTCCGTTCTGTTTTAATTTACGGCTGCGAACCATGGCCATTAAGAGTAGAAGATACTCGTATGCTACTAGTACTTGACCACAGATGCCTTAGAAATATTGCTCGCATCTGCTAGGATCATCGGTTAAGTAAAAGCGCGGTTAGACGAAGGGTATTAGGGAATGTTGGTAAATCAGTTGATGGGGTTGTGAATCTTTATCGACTGAGATGGTTGGGCCACGTGATAAGTATGCCAGAACACCGACTACCACGACGTGCAATGCTAACCGGTGTTGGAGATGGTTGGAAGAAAGTTAAGGGCGGCCAAACCAAAACGTGGAATCAGTGCTTGAAGTCACTAACTTCTAGTCTGAGCCATGTTGGTAGATGCAGACTACTTGGTTGGGGTCCACGTAACTATCGTAACCAATGGTTGGAGACTCTTGGTGACATGGCTAGGAATCGATCACAATGGCGTCGGTGTATACACTCTCTATCTTCCTTTAAATTAAAAGATTAAAATCGCTTCATATCTTTCTTTCTATGAACTAATTCTTTCTTCCTGCACTATATCCTTATATGCAATCTTTCTTTTATATATTACCACCACTGAAGTAAATACTTTTATGAATCCAGTGTCCACCTTGTTGTGTTAATGAGGTATGGCAACTTGGACCGATGCATATATGTGCTTGGTCCTACGTTGTAGCTGACTGACTGACCTAACCTTATGGTTTACCGTACTAGCAGATATCACTGCTGTTTCCACAGCTTTTCGGATATCATTCCACGCTGCCTCGAGATAGGTATCACATACATGGCTGCCTAATTGTTTTCCTATTTGTTCCTGAAATATATTCTTAGTTGGACTATCATTAAGTAGGACCCTAAGAACTTGCCTTGCAGCGTCTTTCCTACGTCCAGTAGGACACAGACAAATACGCGCTCGCACTACAGCATGATCTGAATCTAAGCATGTGCTCCAGAATGAGTGACAGTCTTCTATCGAACCCCTCCATCGGTGGCTGATAGCGATGTGATCTATTTGGGTCCAACGTTGGGACGAATTCGGGGATCGCCATGTCAAAAGATGTTTTTCCTTATGCTTAATGTTAGTATTTGTAAGAAACAGGCAGTTATCTGAGCATAGCTGCAACAGACGGTCGCCATTATCTGTTCTTTGAGCCACGACACCATAAGATCCACCTAGGTGTCTTTCCCTATCGCTTAGTTTACCTACTTGAGGAATAAGGTCACCAGCTACTATTACTACATCAGAGCGCCTAGCTTTTCGGAGAAAGTCGGAAAGCTTTCTGTAAAACTCATCGTTTACATCATCTGAGAATAGGCAGAGACGACGAAGAGGCAACGACGAGTGTCCCTATCTTCCCGAGTCCTTATTGTTCCGTTTAGTCGGACAGCGCACAAACGACTGTCTACTGGGATCCAGTCTAAGAGAGCTAGTTCTACCCTACGACTCAATGCTATACCTACGCCGGCGAGGCCACGAGAAGCAGCATCAGGGCTTTCAGTCACACGAAGTGTCAACCGAGTTGGTTCTTTATTTTGACATGGTGAGGTCAAATGAATGACGCCACTCGGGTCCTGTATGCGTGTTTCGGAGACACAGTGCACATCGATGGCGCGAGATTCTAAAGTCCTAGATAAAGAAGCCTGTTGTCCTATTTGGCACAGTGTTCGGACGTTAAAATATCCTACGTGTGTGTTCAGAGCGTGGTTTCAGGAGATCAGGAATAACGTTCCGCGTACTCGAATCGTTTGCTCTAACAGTGCCAGATGATAAAGGGACGTGAGAAGGGTTAGTCGTGGAGATAAGAGAGGTATTAGGAGGTGTAGAGAGGATTTATCGTGACCAACTTGATCTCGTGTGCTATTACGGGTATGAGGGATGGTGTCACTTCCCGGCTGCCCACATCGTGGAAGGGTATTTCTTGACGAACCTGAAAAAGAAGTTGGATTAGTGGTGGTCTTAACAACCTGGGAGCGTGACCGCAGAGCCCAAGGGACAACTGACTGAGGCCGGTCGCGCACGGTCTTTTTGTCGGAGGTCTTTAACGTGTTAGCTCCGTTCTTCAAAGGGCTTTACCACCAGAGACGGAAATCAGTGAGGTAAGGTGAGGTGTGACATTTTTAGGTTCGACCTTTTCTAACCCCTTCCTTCCTTGTGAGAAGGCAGCATCGCTGTAGATCCTTGTTGTCCGAGGGAAACACCTTACTGTTGTCACACCCCTCTACATTCAGCAGTACGACTTCGCCCTCAGACCTTGATTTGCTGCTTTTAGTCTTACCGTTCTCCAATCGACCTCCTTGGCATGGTAGAGCCTGCAGGGACATATATTCCAGCCAATATAGCTTGGCTGAGTCATCACGATAGGCAAGCCTGACCACCGCGTCAAGGTACCAGCTACGGTCGGGACGTGAACGTGTAAGATAAATTATACTTTATTTTTGAAAAATTAAACAGTAACTGGATAGAATAATAGAAAAACCCTGAAGAATGTTTACAATTAAAGTATTTACCATACCACAATGGTATGAGTAGATATGTCTTTCATTAGACAATAACTATGATTATTAATTAAGAGGGGAAACTAAGAGCAGAGCAGAGGAAATCTGATTGTGTCAGTAACACAATAATATTCGTTTCCCTATGCATAATTGACTGGAACAATTATTGTAGTTGAGCTTGAAAAAGTGATTTCAATGATTTGGCTTCAACTGTCAACTATTTTACACTCAAATAATGGACAACTTACAAAAAATATTGTACTCCATTGATATAAAAGATCTATACTTTAATAAATCATTGGATAATGTATATTAATTGGTCTTAGAGATTTATCAATCGAGTTTAAATCGTTAATAACTAATCAAAACAATTTTATTATTTACAAATATATGCGGAACATTAACTTAAATATAATAATATATATGATATGAGTTTTTACTGTATATAACTGTCGTAGTATACAAACAAAATGCAGTGGAAGTAATTCAATTCCAGCAAAATGTTGTTGATTACTAAATGAATGAAAGAAACCACAATTATGCGTAGATAGTCTTTATATAAAATCTGTATAATCTTGTGAACGAATTGTTGGTATTGAAATGGCCTGTTATTCATTACGTTAGCCTATACAAACAGTTCCAATCTAACGACACTATCAAGCAGTATGGATTATTCTAAGAGTCCACTTATTCGCTACTCAGTCAGTCAGTCAGCTACAACGTAGGACCAGGCACATATATGCATCGGTCCAAGTTGCCATACCTCATTAACACAACAAGATGGACACTGGATTCATAAAAGTAGTTACTTCAGTGGTGGTAATATATAAAAGAAAGATTGCATATAAGGATATAGTGCAGGAAGAAAGAATTAGTTCATAGAAAGAAAGATATGAAGCGATTTTAATCTTTTAATTTAAGGGAAGATAGAGAGTGTATACACCGACGCCATTGTGATCGATTCCTAGCCATGTCACCAAGAGTCTCCAACCATTGGTTACGATAGTTACGTGGACCCCAACCAAGTAGTCTGCATCTACCAACATGGCTCAGACTAGAAGTTAGTGACTTCAAGCACTGATTCCACGTTTTGGTTTGGCCGCCCTTAACTTTCTTCCAACCATCTCCAACACCGGTTAGCATTGCACGTCGTGGTAGTCGGTGTTCTATTTGCTACTACTTCTTAGATAATTATCAGTGAACATAGGTCGGTGGACTGAGAAGAAACAATTTCTTTCAATAATTGTTAATTAAATAATCTACAAACATATTTCAGTAAATTATAACTCACATCTCTTCCAAAATCAGCATTGAGTGGGGGACCTCCATTTAAATTGCTACAAGTGAAAACGACGTATGCAAATACAAACACAACTAGGGATCGTTATATGGTAACATAAGGAAAAATAATCATATTAAACTTTAAAGAAAATAAAATCCAATGTACGAATACGAGACATCTTGGAATGTTGGTTGGAATGTAATGTCGCTTTAAATTCATGCTGTTCTTTTTCACAAATTGCACCAATTATGGTTCCTAGCCTGAGTAAAATGGGATACATAGAGCTTTATTCTCCTAACACGTTATCAATATGATTACATGGAACACTGGATGACTACTATAATTTATCTACCTTCCAAACCTTGACAATTGATTTTTAAAATCAAAAGTCATAGATTTTGAGATTTTATATCAATAGTATTTTGATTCATTTGACTATGAGATATTCCAAGCTTCTGTGGCATTTTAGGACAGCCGCCAACATTATTATCAAACTATGTGATGAACTGATGAATCCGAAGTGTAAGGAAGCTGAAGTGCATGGGGTTTAAAATCTTATGTATGAGAGCTTCGTAGTTATTGATCGATCTGACAAGAAATTCAAAGAAAAATCCAGATGAGCTCAGTGGTTTTCCATGTAAAGTACTAGATGCTAGCGAAATTGAAATGTTCAATAAACTAAGGTAAAAGCAATCGAAAAACTTTAATACAGGGAGTAATACTGAACTTATAAGCACTAACTTTTGCGAAAGTAACTCAGAAGGTATACTGGAAAAAAACACTGCTGATTTACCGAGTCCCATAACTTAGAGCTGTGATTTAAACAGGCTGTAAAGGTTGAGCACTCAAAGGTTTATTGTTCACGTAAATCAGTGGATTTCATTTCCTTAATAAAAATGACTATTTACCTTTTCTTACGAGCTAAGTTGTCCTACAGATCTATCATTCATATCAAAGTGGAACTCTGATGAAAAATCGAAAGACTTTTAGTTCGTTAGCTTTACTAAGTGCACTATTTTTAAGATTGTTCCCTTTCTAGAACTACATCCACATAATCACTAAAAAGTAGTCTACAATAGGAAAATAATTATTTCTAGCTTAGACCCTGTTAGATAAATTGTGGACTTCACCTAGAAGAAACCTGGGCTTCAAAACTAAAAGGAATGATGTTTTCGATAAAAACGCTGGGAATTCATTTTCTAACAAAAAATAATACTATTTTTGAGATTATTCTAGGTGGTAGACTTGTCAGGAGTTGATAACCACACAACGTAGTCCTTAGAACAACAACCAGCTATTCTTCTGTCCGCAATATAACGCGAACACACTGTGTTAAATAATCGGCATCTTTTGAGATTACCTAACCAATTTTATAAGTCTTACACAATCAGATGAATAAAATGATGTGACCGATCGATCCCCTTAAACGTCATTTTTAAATATACCAATCAAAAATGTACATACCTCAAAATTGGACAGAGATACTGATCACGAAAATACTTCATGAAAAGGCTATCACAGTTGAAAGGTCGACAATGTTCAAGCAAAATCACACAGTCTACCGGGCATAACTCAGCAGCATATGTCCTTATGGCTTGAACATATTCATTCATATGCGTTGCCGCAGATGTATTATTATTTTCCAAGACATCAGAGATTAAACCCAGATCACTGTATACAGATTTATGACTGCCATGAGAGTTTGGACATTTGAAATTAGGATCATTTAAATCCAAGGATGTCATAGATTTCGATGATGGAACTGAATTAATAGCATTTAAATCAACTTCTCCTTTGATAGAAAATTCGGTATTCGGTGATGTTAAATCAACTGAATAAGACAAGTCGTTCATAATATTTTTATTCATTAAACTGTGTGAAACTTGAGGTGCAAACTCTGGAAATTTCTCATCACATTCTGAATCGATTGGAAATTCATGGGGGAAAAACGTCAACGGAGATGTTGAGGCCACCAAAGCTTCAAGAGTAGATTTAGGGGCGTCAGGATCAGTGTTTGAGAACTTCACTGAAGATATTGGGGTATCATCAGGAGATGATAGAATACTATTCAGATTAGAAGATACATGCATTTCCTCAATTAAACGTTTTGGCGCTGAGAGAGGACGTGTTAAAGGATCTCCGCCATCTGAACAGTGAGTGTAACATAATGCGGCGGAATGTGGACGTTTTACTCCAGCTCTGACAGTGCTAGTTCTATTCAGTGGCTGATTATGATCATAGACAGAAGGAACTTCACTATCATACACCTCATCGTCCCCCGTGGATGTAAATGCCTGTGTAGTGAACAAAGAGTCTTTATCATCTACCTCATATGGGATTGTGTTGTTTACCAGATCATCTACAACTGGATCTACTGATGAATCCTCTTTGAGAGGCGTAAACCTCGAAGGAGTAAAACTATTAGGACGACACAATTCAAGTTTTTCGATGGCGGGACTTTCGCCACACAACTGACTTGAATATCCAACTGCTACCGGAAATGGGAAGAAGTCAGTAAGCTTTTTCGCAGCATGTTTGACAGACTTACTGGAAGCTGGTGTGCTAGATGGTCTTGTGTAACTAAGTACAGGTGCATGTACATGGTCTTCGAGACAGTGTGAAGTTAGATCTTTATTACATAAGTGCGAGGGATGGGAAAACGGTCTAAGAGGCTGGTTCGCACCAAAGTTTAAAGGTGATGACGAATTTGATGTTCCTTCAACACAAAAGTTGTCATTTGTTTGCGGTGCGAAAATTTTTGCACCCTTAGGTAAAGTGTTGAACAAATCTATATCATTTAACATGCCGTATGCATTTTAGAGCAGATTGACAACCTACAACACAAGAAAAGAGTTTACAAGATAAAATGCTCTGAAGATCATTCGTCAGATTCACTAGTTTCCAGAACAATTAATATGAAGAAAATTCCCTGGAAAGTTATGAACTTTTCTGAAATATAATACAATATAATTATTATTTACTAGTTTTCCCACTCTAGTTTACACAGATCAAGAGACAGATTGGTTTATGAGAATAGGTAAGGACTGTCGATAGAAATATAGTTGTATCTTGGCTGTGTGACCGATTGACTGAATTAATGTGGAGTAGCCAATTGATAACTGTCCATGAAATCCAATTATTGACACTAACCCTAAGATAAACTGACATGAAACAATACAACTGACCAACAAAAATATCATTTTCACGCAGTAAAACATACAACGAAAAGTTCAAGATAACACTGTGGATCCACCTAAGTAATCACAAAGCGTTAACATTAGATAACAAAACAATACTAATTCGAATTAAGCGTAATTATTTGTACTTGGAAACCTAAAGCAGAATGAAGATACAACTGATGTAATCGACATATAACATATACTTATCGTGAATTCGATTTCAACTGATTTATAATCACAATTTACAATCACTGAGGATAGAGTTCAAAATATTAAAGTTGATAAGCAGATTTACTTTTAGAACATATCTTAATTAGCTGAAATATCTAGAAAAGGTATGAGTCGAAATGATAAAACACTCCAAAATCCCAAAAGAATTTTGGTCAGGAAAAGATAACTCTGTCCTTCTAGATTGTTTTAAACCCGCTTAATATTATCGTCATCAGCAATTGACATTTATTAAATAAGTTGATTGCTAATTTTTCACTTTACATTTAATTAAAATTCGCCTCATAACTTGAATTTGTTACTTAAAACTGGTTTCTATTTGTCTCTATGACCCGAAGTCGTAGTAACTGATCTCCCACGTAGCACGACAAATCCATCAGAGAAAAGCACTGACAACCAAATAAAAGTAAGAACAGCGACTGGTTTTTAGGCATATCTCGGGAATTTTTTTCGGACTTTCAGCTCAGTTGATTGGTATAATATAACAATAAGTAGTATAGGTTTATTTATTAAACGGTAAACCACACTTTATATGGGCTAATTAAACTACCAGGTTATCTAAACTGAAGTAAGAGCAGAACTCTAAATTGCACACTGGTGTTTGAAGGTGAAGTGGTTAAACCATTAAGCCACAACTCTACTAATAAGGAAGTAGGCGATGAAGCAAAATAATATGCACTAAAATGAAGTCGAACTAATCACTGTTTATCATGAATAAATACGCAAATATCTAGTCACAGTGAAAAAGTCTTTAAAATATTCGGTGGAAGTTCAAAAACGTTATCTATTCTTTTCAGAAAACGGTAGATAGGTTCTAAATGAACACAAGAGCAGAAGCAATAGTATCAGTAATAGTAAGAAGGATTGGCATAGAGAAGAAAGAATCGAATCATGGAATAAAATGTATAAAATAATTCAGGGAATCAAAAGTAAAGAGTCAATACATCCGGGTCAGTAGAATGAAATGAAATCTTCCAGAGGAAATTTATAGACCTAGAATTTAGAGGCTGACAAGGAGTAAGAGCACCTCAGCATTGCTCACTCTGTGGAACCAACATACATTGCCAGTTTCTTTGGAAATCTCTGTGATCGGATACTGGTAACCTACCTGTATACTCCTTTTTTAAAGACCATATTTCACAGTTATAATGTGAAACAGAAAAAAACTGCCAGTCACCATATTTTTTTGTTTGGTAGACGGATATCTTACCTACGCCGAAAGTGACGAGTTGCCAAAGATCAACCGGACTTTTGGAACCCGGGCTAATATTTTGTCAGGCACCAACCTATCGGGGATAATGAGATTTTTAAAATAAGTGAAGCGATCAAGAAGTCTGACTATTTCACTCCCTATCACTAGTTGAGGCATTTACACAGACCCGTTCTGAAGCGAAATTTTGTATTTAAAAAAGAATAACATCCCAAAGCCCTAGGTTACTGCTTAAGGTGATCAGAAAACTACATTGTATCGTCCTCACCGAAAATGACTAGCATCTGCGAACGCAACAAGATGAATACCAAAGGATTCGGACTAGTAGTATTACCACTGACAGTGAAAGAGTTCAACAGTTAGGTAATACAGTCCAAAAATGGATGAATTCGGAGAATAAAAAACAAATATCGAAGACTAAGGGGATGACTATGAATGCACCTAACAAGACCTAAGAAGTGTTAATTTACGTCTCCAACCACTCGTCGCGCTAAGCCCGATCAGGTGAACTGGATTTGGCAACATGGTCCATTCCAATAACCAGTGAATTCACTGACCGAACTCAGAACTTAGTTTGGCCACCAATGACTTTCTCTTAACGTACATCTACTCCAGCCAGGATTTCATGTCAAGGGAAGTGGTCGTTGGGTGCACGCGACACATTTTCTCAGATATCAACTGACAAATACTTGCAGCCTCATTAAACGATCCACGGTCCCTAATTAGTACGTTATCTGTACAATATACTACTCATCAGCGTTGAGAGATGTAAACCAGGAGGCTTAATGAATCGATAAACCCTAGTGCCCGGATTTCGATACGCGGAAGGTAAATTAAACACTGCAAAATTTAATACCTACACTACTGAATTACAGACATAGTGCACACTGACGGAATGAGTGCAAAGCAAATATTTTCACAACTGAGGCCAAAAGTGAATAAATCTATTTATAAGGATGATTCACAATGTGACAGCTGAGAATAAATATTAGATCCATGGCACGAATGAAAAATGAATGTAGCCAAAATGCTAGTTGATGGGTAGGTTAGGTACCTAAATCACTAGAAATCAACCTTTTATGACCATCCAGGAGTCTACATTCAATTTATATACTATGCAGTCAGCCTTACTACCCTGTGTATGCTAAGGTGGTTGACTAGAGGCTACATACAATAAACATCGTCATATGAACGATCACACCTCTTATAAAATGTACCGAATTTTTTGTTACTTGACTGGATTTCGCCTTGTTAACTAATTTTAATTCCGACAGCCTTATTCAGACGTGAATAAACACGTCCTATCAGTATAGAAATTAATATGACCTTATTACGATTGGTCAGTCAGTACCTAACTCAAGTAATTCTGACCCGTTCATCACCGATTTTCGTTTCGCTTTTGAATGAAACTAGTCAACACGAAAGATATATTCTAACTCTAGCCTCAAAACTAGACTCACTTCTAATAGATGGTTGATTGGTAATTGAGCTATAATAAGACAACCCACTCTTCGTTGATAATTTCAGCGCTAAGTGATTTGTAGTACACTGCTGTTGCCAAAACAGCTAAAACTGAGGTTTAAGCAAAATAATATCAAAACCTATGCATGTTTCAGAAATAATTTATTTCCTAATACACACAAAGGTTTTTTCTTAATGGATTAACCACATGGAAAAACGACGGCAGCCTAAATAAAAAGATTCGACTCACTTTTTGCTGTGCAGTATTATACGTGGAAATATAACCAGTTTCCTATAAAGTACACACTACAGAATTCACCAACCAACCAGGTGAGTTCCGAACAGGATACAACCTTCCCGCAATTTGGAAGACGCAACAAAACAAGGTTTGGATTATAGAGTTTTTATGTAAGTATATTTTCCTCTTATCGCTTGGTGAAACTGAGCTCATACACAGCTTTTATATGAAAGTACTATTTGTTTGCGAATCCAGTGAATGAAATTTATCCCTTGAGTAATATTTGCTGTTCACAACAGGCATATTAGGTCAGTTAATCTGTTTCTAGCCCAGTGCCAATTATTCCCGTAAAGATTAGGTTTCTGCTTAAAAACAGTTAGTCCAAGGGTTTTTATCCCTCTATTGGGCAGGAGATCTCAGACAAAACCTACCTACGGAAAAATTAAAACCCTAACGCAGCTTCCCGAATGTCTTGTCATGGCCTTGGAGATTATCAGCTTGTCCAAAGACGAAAGTGATAGAACACATTGTTATCAGAGTCATCAGTTGAGACGAAGACTCCTGATATAGTGTCCCTTCTTATTCCACAAAACTGAGTGAAAATTTGAGCGATTCAATCATATCAATAAATTTTTCCGCTGAGTTCATTGGAGTCAGCCTACACGAATTTACGTTGTTGTACTTTGAGTGACCTTGCTAAAAAGAAGAATGCTGAAATGATACGTATCTTACTAAGTTATGATGGTCAATAAAGTCATGTTGCCCGCAACGGTGAATAATGTGTCCCCACTTCGCTGCCTATCATCCCTAACAACCATTGGGTCCTCGCACTTGCCGATCGTAAACTTTGGGAATCGATTGGGCCTTTCCGAAGTTGTCTGAAAGGTCCTATTCGCAGAATGACCTGCATAGACACGTCAGGTGTTTTTAAACGTGACCTAGATCAGTAAGAAGAACGTTTAAAAATGGACGAAACACACATCAGATTCAGTTGCTCTCGATTAGCAAACCACCACCCAGGGTATTGTGAGCTAATCAAAACGGACCAAGCGCTTCGCCTGTGTAACAAACTTGCTTGAGCCAGTTTCGACAAAGTTGGTAAACAGCCTCACCTAAGTTATCCACGATCTGCAGCATTTCAGAATGATTCTGCAATAAAAGAACACCTTAATGTGACGGACAGCTAAATGACTTGACAGTTTATTGGAAGGGGGTCGAGGAACATGTGTCCAGTCTGAAATGAAGAATATAACTCATGTTGAAACTTAGTATTAGCCTCGATGTAACAGACAGTAAAATGAGCATTTTATACGTGGCACTTAAATATGGTATGGAAAACAAGATGGGATGCGGAGTAGCAATATACATCAGTGGTTACCTAAAGGGGAAAACTTCGAATTAACTTGAGGTGGACAAGTGGCAGGTGCCCATCTAGTGATATTACAGTAAGAACGCCAGTGAGCATCTGAGTGAAAAACCAAGTTGCTGTGGCTATCGTAACATTGGAGGTTTTGTCGGACACGTATCAGTAGACTTCATACCTCCTTGAATCTTACAAGGGATAACGTTTCGTAGAACAGATGACAGACTCACTAAAAGTCTCTGAGCATGAGTCTTCCGTAACACCAAGAAACAGATGAGGCATAAGTCTAAGAAGGCATAAGAAGTTTTTCCAAACAAGACTTGCTAAGAAACTACAACTGGGCCCAAAGTATGGAGTATCTATCGAGTTATGTCAGGGGGGATGAGGTATCAAGCCGCTTATCTTGTTCGGTCGTGCCAACTTCCTGTTTTCTGGCGCCATTATCACCATACTGTGACCTTCTTCGTGGTTGTGTTGTGTGAGATCTACAGTTCGTGCTTAGAACCCAGAGTCTGCAGGAACATCCAACGGAGGTAGACAGTCGTAGCTAATTTCGTGCCGGTATTATTATAACAGTGAGCAAACTTGCTGTAATCGTTGCGTGGTCCAGTTATCGTTTGGATTAGTCAATGAGTATTGTGCCCTCAAAGGTACTGTAGCTACTCGCTTTGGAAAAGACGTAGGTGGAATTCTTAATTGATAGAATGATATCAGATTATTGTAGAGCATAATGTGGTTTAGAACTATTCGGTGCTCGATCAAGTATGGCGATGCATGAGGCAACGAGTTGTCGTGCATTAGCATGCATATATATTATGATATGATTTCCTACTTTATACTGTGTTCCTGAGTCACCTGGTCACTTCGGTTAGTGCCACTAACATTCTGTACTCTATGAAGTCTATTGTCGATAAAAAAAGATGCAGGAAACTGTTGAACTGTTGCCTACTTAATTAATTGTTATTTAATTATTGCTTCAGAATTATTTGGTTTATCGATTTGTCATAAGTTTCGGGTGTAGCATAAACACATCTGTTTTAAGAGGCGATTAACTTCGTCCTTCATGAACAAATTGAATGCAATCGCTATTGGTTAATAAGTTGAGTGCTCCATTCTCTAGTGGTGTGATCAGATCTTAACGAGTAACTTAGGTTACGGTACTATTTGTTGGCGAAACCTTGAGTAAATACCGCCAAAAAAGGTAGGGAAATAGGGAGTTTGCCAGGTTCGTGGGACTGTAGGATGACATTTGTTGAGTTGGTTAGCGTATTGCTGAACAAGGTGGAGCTGAGAGGCCGTACCATGAAAATTACATAATTACTAGTCAAACCACTACGAACGTCTTAGCACAACCTTGCCCTACGAGTTATTCTCTCCAAACAAATGATAAGAAATGGGACAATAAGGCGTACTACAAGAAAACCTATCCGCCCTTGTAGGCTGCCAAGTGTGTGTGTATAATTTGCTTACCTATTTGAAGTTTGCTTGTGCTTGCACTCTCAGAAGGCTGATCTATTAATGGGTACGTAACAAGACATATTTTTTTCAAAACAAGAGCTTACTAACGTTAAGATTATTCTTCGCCTCATTGACGACTGGAAAGTAGGAAGAGGTTTCAAGAATCAATCTATAATGTTTATTATACATCACAGAAACAAGTCAATTACGAGTAGGTTTCTCGAATATATAAATGATTCATCATTCAATAAATAAAGGTAAGAAATACAATTCTTAGAACAAATGACTCCAATCTCTAGCTCGAATGTTTTCAGATGTGATGGATTGTGGGAAATAGTATAGTTCAAAGCCGCTGTTTCTTCCTACTTGAAACTCATCAGCTGGATATAACGGGACCTAGGAGTCAACGTTCATCCCAGGTTTCAAATCCAATACTTTTCGCTTCAGACGTCAAACGCGTTACCCACTTAGCTACTGACTCTAGACAGCTACTCACCTGTACAGTGAGTGTGAATATAATTCCCTAAAAATTGTGACGAAACGATCAGGCTCAGGTGATCTTCGCATGATACACATGCCAAACAAGGATGACCAAGATTCTCCCCAAAAATATCAACATTTAGATGACTGAATGCCCTTGCAAATCAAATTATAACTTCCTGTTCTGACATAAACTTATTAGATAATTAAAATAACCCATAGTGTCAATGAATAAGAAAAAGAGAATTCAGCGAAGAAACTTTTTCGTCGAAAAGAAAATTTTCTTCGCTGAATTCTCTTTTTCTTATTCAATAAACTTATTGGCTTACTCATATTCATTTGCGTTTAATCGCGATCTTACACAAACGTTGCACCACAGGGAAATTGCCTTGCCTGACCCACCTCAAGGAGAAGACCATGACATCTTGCGTCTAACCTGCAGTTCACGAACAAATAGTAGCTTACAGCAGTAACATTGATTGTCAGGAAGAGCAGATTGAAAAGGTGTGGAGAGTGAGCATGTCGTGACAGTATAATTACAGCGGAAACTTACCGCAAGTCACCCACAAGCTGAACTGTTTCTGTGTTGGACAGCAGATCACTGCACGTTTAGTGATTGATAAGAACTAGTAACGAAGGTCAATAGGGGTAGGCACGAAGGCATCATCGGAACTACATAACTCGGCAATGTTGGTGTGGTCAATCTAAATCCTTCGTTTTTATATTCGATATTTTGTCCTTCCGGTAGATTTACACTTGTCCCTCATCAAACCGCCATAGAGTGAGAATGATTTAGGATAGAAAATGATGTGACTTCAACAAAAAATCACATGGATTAATCGGCTACATCACTTTAAGTCTGCAATTTTATTGTTCGATTATTGGCCTAGTAGGGAGTCAGAAATTTATGGACAAATCAATGAAACTGGGGATAGTGAGTCTTTGAATATGGAGCGGATTTCACTCATCCATGTAGTCAAATAGAACATCGGCTTTACAGCTGACGTCGACTAGTGATAAAGGTCCTAACTCCGATTCCTAAACTCGAATTCTAACTCTAAATCCTAACCTATGACCATTTTTGAGCCCAGTAATTCCTCACGTTATTCATAATTTTCCCATAATCTCAGCAAGTGAACATTCTCAATGTCATTTTGGCGTCGCTCAAACGTCATCCATAAATTATAGTCTCATCATGTAGTAGGTTTGGTCAATAACCTTCCTATTAAAACGGTATATGGCAGTCTTCGAGAGGTAATTATATCTTTCATTTAGTTTTAATTTATTTCCATATAGCAATATGTTTTGATGGCATTCAAGTTTACTGGCGAGATCAAAATGTAATGAATATTACGGGATTTACTGCAAAAATTTACTCTGTTAAGCTCATATGTTATAAGACATACTGATTATAGAAACAGGGGCTAAATTAATGCAGATAAGAATATGAACAATATCAAGATTAATAACGATAGTTCGTAGGTGCGTGCCATTTCCTCAGGGACAATCAATAACTTACATCACAGCTGAAGATGGCACAGGTATTCAGAGCTTGACAACACCTTTGCACGTAACACCTTTATAATCGAAGTATATCAACCCAGTCAAGTCAGAAGTCAGAGATTAAGTGGTTCTAAGGTATATTTGGAAGACTATCGATGTATTGAAAGGCGTTCAGTCTAAGACAGCTAACAGTTGTAAGCGATACGCAGCACAGCTCGCCCACTAATGATCTGGTGCATATGTGTAACCGTGTGTGTCCAGCAGAAATAATGAGGGCAGAATCGAATGTCAAAGACCTACAGGACTACCTCTTTTGGAGATCTGTTTACCGCTACATAGTTTAACAGATAATCTACTACCTGAGTGATATTTTTAAATAGATAAATTCGGTCACAATTTATGATAGAATACTCATGCTTGAAAACCTGTCAATAAATGGGTTTGTGTACTGGTACTGTAATATAAGTTCATAGTTGTTATAAGCTGTTAAAAAATGGCACATATTACAAAATGTGACCTCATCAAACGTACATCTCCATATTCCGTTTATGCGTATCGTATTCGTGACACTGGGAAAATAGAGGAAAAAACAGCATAACTAGCAATACAAAGGGGTTGACAAAACGCAACATTTTTATTATTGCAGTGGAAGAGATTAGGGTTTGTCTGTTGGTAGATAGAACTCAAGCTAAGCAACGAGGGAACTACCGGTAAACCATGGGAACTAAACGCAAAAAGTAAAGAATTGTATTGGGGAAACAGGCCTCAGTTTGTGGAAGGTTAAAGAGAAAAGCAGGATAAACATTTATTGATTTCGGGAAACCAATAGTTGGAAAAATCGTTTAAATTTCACATTACTTTATCACCACTTACCTACTTGCTTACTCTTTTTACCACTCTTAATACGATCAACCAGGCTAAGATCCTCACCGATGTATATTCCGGATCGAATTGGTTTGCGTGAGTTTTTCAGTGTCAGATTTCTTTCTTCAGCCAAATCGAAGATAACCTCTGAGAGGCAGCTTTGATGAGTGCCTTCAGAACCCACCTCTTGTCCTATTCTATGAAGCTTACAGATCCTAACTCCTGAAAATATTCTTGGGAGTAGCTTGCTTATTAAGGACTTAATATGAATGAGATCGTGCTTAAATCTAGTCTTTGGTTCCTTTCCGGAAGATTCTTTTAACTCAGAAGAAACGACTGAGCTGTCAACGAGGTCCGACTTAGCACGCTGTAAAATTCCAAATCCAGAAACCTTCATGCAATCTGATTCCGATTAGACGTCAAACTCAGAGATCCCACTTTACTTTTTTACTTTTCATTTCCTGGGTGTGACTGTGAGTCATACATTTACCTTATTTTGTCTCTTGATCACATCTTTTATACCTCTCAGACTTTGCTCCCCATAGTCTGTTTTTCGTTGATATGAGAATCCGGAACTAAAACCGTAGATTCACATACCTTAGTGTTGCCTATAAATGGCCTCCTCTCAGAATGCTTTTTCTTTTTCCTTGTGACAATTCCTACATATGTATGCTTATTATCCGTTTCTCTAGTAGGTTCCACCTTTATGGTCTCATTAAAATTCAAAGCTAGACTCATGATGACGCTCACTATTTCGTAGAAAACTGAATTCTGCTCATCCACTGCTGCCTGTTTATCTGAGGGCAATTTTCCATCTATGTTTAGCAGCTCAATCGCCTGAAGAATCCGCAGAGACTTTGCAGAACAGCATGCTTTGCATAGCCAATGTGATAGTTGCTTGCAGCACATTTTATATGCAGCCGGTGTGAGTCCGGTGCACACATTGTGATAGCACTTGCTAAAGTTGTTGCATTGTATTCTATTATCAACGGAGAGATAGCACGCAGGCCTGTCACAACGATGTTTTATTAGCTCCATAAATTTGTTTTGTGATCTCACAGGAAGAACAAAAGCGAAAAGTGATCTCTAGAATGATTGTATTCTAAGGCTTGATAGGTGGTAGATACTGAACACAAACAAAAAACAGAGGTTTGTATATTACCGGGCCTAACAACAATAAAAAATCCAACTTCAGTATTTACAACAAGACCTTAATGCCTTTGGATATAGACAGTAATAAAGGATATACTCAACGTGGGAAAGATAACAGTACCTCTTTTTGTATCTGTAATAAAAAAATAAAGATGATAGACTTCTCTAGAAAGAAGTGATACGCTAGGAATTTACTTTAGCTGACATAAATTAATTTACAGCAAAAACAGTAGTCGTGTTGTGTAATTAAACGATCAATACTATGAAATATACTCAGAAGAAAAATACCACTGTCCTTTTTAAATAGCGCGCGATACTTTGAGCTCAGTTGCAGTTTCCTAGTAATATTTGTCTGGAGAAATCTTCTTATACCTTCTTAGACTTATATCTCACCTGTTTCTTGGTGTTGAAGATGCCACAAGTATTCGGAGTTTGACAACGCTTTAACCAGTAACACCTTCTAATATGAATCGTACCCACCAATCGAAATCAAAAGACAGAAGCGAGCAGGTTCGAAGATATATTTGATAGGCTATCAATATATCGAGGATCGTCTGATCTAATCTGGCTAGCGATTGCAAGGGGTGTTGAACGCAGCGTTCCCACTCGTGATCAAGTGCGGATTCTTGACCGAGCGCCTTCAGCTAGGTGATTTCATTAAAACTAATGTGGTCAGCATCCAATGTCGAAAACGTACAGAGCTATTTATTATGGGTATTTATTTACCGCTACAGTGTTATTTAAGACCCATGATCAGAGACTTCAAGTGAGTCTGTCATTTGTTCCACGAAACGTCATCCCTTGTAAGATTCAGGGACATAAATATAAAGGTCTCCTGAAGGCAGAATTACTACGATATTAAGCTACCTTACAACCACACTACTTACACTTCGAATATGAAATGCACAACTCGGGTCTGACCACTCAAGGTCCCTGAAATTAAAAAGCTGCATTTTAAATTCCAAGCTGATCTTCTTGCCATACGTTTTGTTTACAGGCGGACAGAACATGACACCTTCGACCGAAATGTAACCAAACCGGACAAAATTTCCCCCAAAGTGGGGAGATCGGGAAGTTACTAGGCCACAATTATCCAACTTGTGCACTACAAAATAGAGAGAGCTAAATCAATGTTCGTCGCAATGATTTTGTGGTTTTGCTGCAGCAAAAGACCACGTAAAAGTGAGAACACCTGATAATCGTGCAACTCAACAAATCCACAGCATTTGAAATACGTATTGAACGCTCAAGGTCGTTGAGACGGAACGGCGGGCAGCTTTTCCTGAACTTCTTCTTAACAGAAGACAGTGTAAGTTTTTATTGTCGTTTCACAAATATGGTGTATATGTTTTGCTTATCCATTCGACGGTGAGACTATAATTTATGGACGATCTTTGAGCGACGTTGAAGTGACCCTGGGGGTGGACACCTACTGATTAGGACTAAATGATGGTTATAAAGCAGCTAGAATTCTCATTTACAGTTGATGGTTAGGGTTAAAAATTAGGTTTAAGGCTTTCATCACGAACTGACATCAGCTATAATGCCAAAACTAGTGTACGATAAATGTCGCGCCAAAATTCGTGGGTCATTCTTAATACCTAACTAACTTTTTTATATTACAACCGAGGTCATGCAATCGAAAAACTCTAGGGGTGATAACCTTATGTTGGGATGCTTGTCCGAGTCCTAGTGTGGGGACTTGACCGTTTTCTTTCAATATGAAGAATAGCTTGGAATATGAAGGTTAATTATTCAAATTGAAGTTGTTACTTCATTATCATTCCTTTTCTTTTTATTGTCAATTGGTCTTTGATTGTCTAACGTTTCCTGACTGACTGACAAGTCATTCAAAGTCGTCAGCATACTATACTTTTACTGAAAAAGGGAATCACGTGGTATAGGCACTGTAATGTTTGTTCTCCTATTTTCTACCTTTAAGGTCTTCAAGAATAAATGGGAATACATAGACACGTAGTTCCTGAGTCTTATGAACATTTTCACAGAAATTTCACACAGTTTGTTAATTTGGGCTGTTAATCGGTTAAATGTGAGTCACTTGTTAAAGGCATAGTTTAACTATTGATGTGCTGATGCTCTAGGACAAGATTTATGATCTACCTACCGAACGCCCTGGTACGGTCGAGGGTGGAGTTAGTTCTCTCTCACATGGCCACGCGTATACAGTTACTACCAGGAAAGTCCTACTCACAGCCTTCTCGTAGAGGGGGTGTTGTGTACAAAATTGAAAGGACGAAAAGAGAATGTTCTGCGCTCTAACCGGGTTAGTGGACATGGAGAGTCCACCTAGGGGAGTTGGAAGACCCTGATTCCAAACCAATGTTGCCCGACCTTTGTTGCTACCTTGATGTGGTGGTCGGGCTTGTCTATCGTGATGAAGCAACCGAGCAATACTGGCTGGAACAACCGTTCCTCAATGTCCTATCATGCCAGACAGGTCAGTTGGAGAGCGGTAAGACTAAAAGCAACAAACATAAGTTCCGAAGGCGAGGTCGTACTACTGACTTCACAGAGGTGTGACAGCAGTAAGGTGTTTTCTTCAGACAACCAGCATGATAGCGATACTGCCTTTCCACAAGGAGAGGTGGGGTTAGAAAAGGTCGACCTGAAAATGCACACCGCCTTATCCTGCGGATATCTGTTTCCGGTGGTAAGGTTTCAAGTACGGAGCTAACGCGAAAATTACTCACAAAAAGTTCGTGTATGACCGACCTCAAGTAGTTTTCCCTTGAGCACTGCGGTTATGCTCTCAGGTCACTAAGATAACCTCTAATTCAATTTCCTTTTCAGGTACCTCCAGAAGAACCCTTCCACGATGTGGGCAACCAGGAAGTGATAACTGCCCTCATACCTCTAACAGCACTCAAGACCATTGTATTCATAATCAACCTCTTTCTTCGATTCCTATCATTCCTCTTTCAACACTAAACTTCCTCTTTTGACCTCCTCCTCAAGTGTCACCATAGCCAACGATTCTAGTGCGCCGAACACTGTCCCAGGTCTACTGAAACCTCGCCCCAAACTACACATTGGAGCCTTCAACGTACGCACCCTATGTCAAATCGGTCAACAGGCTTCCTTGGCTAGAACCCTAGAATCTCGTACCATTGATGTATGCTGTGTCTCTGAAACACACATACAGGATCCCAGTGTGGTCATTCACTTGACCTCACCTCGGCAAAACGGAGAGCCAACGAGATACACCCTCCGTGTATCTGGTGACCCGACGGTCATCTCTCGTGGACTGGCAGGAGTAGGGATAACACTAAGCATGAGTGCGGAACAAGCACTGTTAGATTGGATCCCCGTTAACAGTCGTTTATGTGCTGTTCGGCTAAACAGCTCCGTAAGAACTCGGAAGGATAGGGACACACGTCCTTGCCTTTTTTTCGTTTCTGCCTACGCTCTCACCGACTGCAGCTCAGATGAAATGAAAGATGGATTTGACAGAAAGCTATCTGAACTTCTTCAGAAAGCTAAACGTTCAGACATAGTACTCGTAGCGGGAGACTTTAATGCCCAGATAGGTAGTTTAAACCAAACAGAAAGGCATTTAGGTGGGTATTTTAGTATTCCGACACAACGAACAGATAATGGTGATCGTCTGCTGCAACTGTGCTCAGACAATCGTTTATTTTTAGCAAACACTAATTTTGAGCATAAGGAGAGACATCGTCTAACATGGCGACCCCCTACACCAAACCAATGATGGACTCAAATAGACCATATTGCCATCGGTCATCGTTGGAGAGGGTCGGTAAAAGATTGTCGCTCATTCTGGAGTACCTGCTTGGACTCCGACCACGCCCTAATACGGGCACGCATCTGCTTGCGCCTCACTGGACGCAAAAGAGCCTCAGTAAAAAGACCCATTAGAGCTGAATTGAGTAGCGAGAAAACCAAAAGTAGGTTCCAGGAAAAACTGAGGTCACAATTAGGTAGTTCTGAAAACGAGGTTGACCCAGATGATGCTTGTAAAGCTATACAAACAGCTGTGGAAACAGCAGTGATATCTATCAGTGATTTAAACCACAGGGTTACAAAGAACCGATGGATTTCCTCAAGGTCTATTGCACTAGTGGGCTATCGTAAACTCATCCTATCAGGTTCTGAACACGATGAAGAGCTACAACAAATCAGATCTAGGTTAAGCAAAAGTCTAAGGAACGATTGTGATCAGTGGCTCTGGTGAAGTACTACAAATTCGCTCTCCATCTGTCGCTTCGAAAAGCTTGTTTTACGTGCTTTTATCCGGAGACCCTGTGGCATCTTTGTCTGATCTTGCTGGCGTTGGTGTCGCACTGAGCGCTAGAGCTGAGGCAGCACTAATCGATTGGATCCCCATTAACAGTCGGTTACGTGCTGTTAGATTAGAGAGTTCCATCAAAGTGAGAAGAAATCGGCGTGAGAAACGATGTCTTTTCGTCATCTCCGCCTATGCCCCTACAGATTGCAGCCCGGATGCAATCAAGCATGAATTCTACCACCAATTATCTGTTCTTCTCCAGAAAGTGCGTTCGACAGATATTGCAGTACTAGCCGGAGAATTCAATGCTCAGGTCGGGCGTCTAGGCACAGAAGAGAGTCGTTTAGGTGGCCGATGGCGACTTGTTGGTCGCAGGACAGATAACGGAGACCGTCTACTGCAACTATGCACAGGCCACAACCTGTTTCTGGCCAGCACTAACTTTCGGCACAGTCATCACCGATGTGCCACCTGGCGTCCCCCTTCTGCATCTCAAACCTGGACTCAGATCGATCACATCGCGATCAGCTACCACTGGCGTGGTTGTGTACAAGACTGCCACTCCTTTTGGAGTACCTATCTGGACTCTGACCATGCCCTGGTCTGCGCCAATCTTACCTTACTCTTCAGTGGCCAACGAAGTGACCGCCACCAAAGGATTGATGTCAGCAAGTTGGTTGCAACTTCTGTTGCAAGTAAGTATCGAACCGAGCTAGCTTCTAGGCTAGCTACCATTCCACCGAAAAGTATAGATGAGTATTGGTTGCAATTGCATGACGCCATGAAAATGTCGGCTACAGTCAGTTGTGGGTTTGCGAAACGTCCCGCTTATAAGCACTGGGTTTCTTCAGGCTCCTTACAACTCATTGAAGCCCGTCGGTCTACTCTGGGTGACCGTGAGTTTGACCATAAACGAAGGATGTTACATAAGGAAATTGGGCAAAGCTTGCGTAAGGACCGAGAAGCCTGGTGGTCGAAGCGTGCTAATGAGCTGGAAACAGCAGCTGCGTCTGTTAACTACCGGAAGCTCTTCCAACTCACCCGAGCCACTGGCAGCAAGAAGTCTGGTGTGAGTGAAACAATCTGCGAGGATGATGGGAGGCCGATCACTAACACCCAACGACGTCTTGGACGATGGACAGAATTTTTCGAAGGGCAGTTCAACTGGCATGCTGCTCCGACATCATCGGTCAGACTGTCCTGCCCTCCATGGCCGGTGACGACTGATCCACCAAATGAGGCGGAAGTCCGCAAGGAACTCCAACTCTTGAAGCGCCACAAATCACCTGGCCCAGATGACTTACCTCCGGCTCCTTTTAAAGATAGTGGTGACTTTCTGGCATAGGAACTGACTGTGTTGTTTACAAAGGTCTGGGAGCTAAAGAGTGTACCAATGTCATGGAATGAGTCGATAGTTGTCCCTATCTTTAAAAAGGGTTCACGTCGTTCCTGTAACAACTATCGGCGGATAAGTCTACTTCCGATTGCGTCCAAGCTATTGGCTTCCGTCATTCTTCGTAGGTTGTTCAAAACCCGAGAAAGATTGACTCGCGAGGAGCAGGCTGGGTTTCGTTCTGGTCCAGGATGTATTGATCATATTTTCACCCTCCGCCAAATGTTAGAACACCGCCATACATATCAAAGGCCAACAATCGTAGTGTTTCTTGACATCAGGACTGTCTTCGATTTGTTGGACAGGACTGTTCTCTGGGATTGTCTGTTGAAGAAGGGTGTGTCTGAGAAGTTTATTAACATCTTAAAAGCCCTATATACAAACACCTCAGGTAGAGTGAGTGCATACAACCACTTCTCTCCATTGTTCCATTCGAGCAGTGGGGTTAGGCAGGGTTGCCCAATCTCACCATTCCTCTTCAACTTTGCCATCGATGACATTCTGGAAACAGCTCTGATGGATGTAAGTAATGGTGGTGTGGATCTGTTGCCTGGAGAAAGACTTCTCGACCTTGAGTAAGCGGATGATATTGTCTTACTGTGCGATAATGCCCAAGCCATGCAATCCGCACTTAATCAGTTGGCAATCATTGTCCGTAGGTATGGTATGTGCTTTGCACCTTCGAATTGCAAAGTACTTCTGCAAGACTGGCAGGATTCTAATCCTGTACTCACCCTGGATGGTGAGCAGATAGAAGTAGTCGAGAAGTTCGTGTATCTAGATAGCCACATATGTGCTGAAGGTGGCGTGAGTGATGAGATCAATGCACGTATAGTGAAAGCCAGAGCGGCTTATGCCAATCTGGGCTATCTTTGGTGCCTTCGTGATGTCAGTCTGGCTGTAAAAGGCCGGATCTACAACGCGTCGGTGAGAGCAGTTTTGCTCTATGCTTGTGAAACCTGGTCTCTCTGAGTTGAGGACGTTAGACGACTCTCTGTGTCCGATCATCGCTGTCTCCGAAGGATTGCTGACATTCAGTGGCAACACCATGTCAGTAATGCAGAGGTTCGGCATCGTGTGTTCGGGCACAGAGACGACAATGCAGTCGGTGTCACCGTCTTGAAACACCGACTTCGGTGGCTTGGACATGTTCTACGAATGTCGTCCCAGAGAATTCCACCTCGTTCATTATTTGCCGACTCTGGGATTGGTTGGAAAAAGCGGAGAGGTGGTCAGTGTATGACATGGTGTCGGGGTATGAAAGAAAGCTGCAAATGGCTGGCTTGTGTTTGTCCTTCATGACTCCCTGGCTGGGGTCCGAAAGATAGCGCAACACAGTGTGGCTGGAGACGTTATCAGATATGGTTCAGAATAGAAGCCAGTGGCGATCGTGCTGTAACCTTCTTTTACTTCATAAAAAATGGTTGTATCTTCCTTAACTGAAGGGTTTCTTCTGATTGTAACTTTCCGTTCCCCCATTATTACCACTATTATTATTACACTACCTTACACCAATCTCTTCGTTATTGTTCTTTTTTTACCCTCCTTACCTTTTTTTCTTTTTCCTTCTCTTTAAATTCCCATTGTTTTGTGTGGCGCATATATATTTGGCACGTTCTTGTACCAATATGTATGTGTTCAAATAAATAAATAATAAATAGTCCTGTTTAGTGAAAACGCTGATAAAATGAAGAGTGTTTTGGTAGCACTAAGCAACAATGCCAGAATGTTTAGAATGTGCTTCTCTCCCTCTAAATGCAAGTTGTTGCTTCAGGACTGGCCTGCGTCAACACCTGAACTAAGGATAGAAAGTGAAGTAGTCGAACGCGTTGACAACTTCACTTATCTTGGAAGTCTGATCAGCCCTAATGGGTTGGTGTCTGACGAAATCTCAGCACGGATTCGAAGAGCTCGTTTGGCTTTTACCAACTTAGGTCACCTATGGTGAAGGCGAGATATCCGTCTATCAATAAAAGGATGAGTATACTGCGTGGCAGTCCGTTCTGTTTTAATTTACGGCAGCGAAACATGACCATTAAGAGTAGAAGATACTCGTATGCTACTAGTACTTGACCACAGATGCCTTAGAAATATTGCTCGCATCTGCTAGGATCATCGGTTAAGTAAAAGCGCGGTTAGACGAAGGGTATTAGGGAATGTTGGTAAATCAGTTGATGGGGTTGTGAATCTTTATCGGCTGAGATGGTTGGGCCACGTGATAAGTATGCCTGAACACCGGTTACCACGACGTGCAATGGTAACCGGTGTTGGAGATGGTTGGAAGAAAGTTAAGGGCGGCCAAACCAAAACGTGGAATCAGTGCTTGAAGTCACTAACTTCTAGTCTGAGCCATGTTGGTAGATGCAGACTACTTGGTTGGGGTCCGCGCGAATATCGTAACCAATGGTTGGAGATTGAGTGACATGACTCATAATCGACCACAGTGGCGTAGGTGCATACACTCTTTGTCTTCCCTTAAACTATGCGATTAATATTATTTCATATCTTTCTTTCTGTACTATATCCTTGCATAAAATCTTTCCTTTATATATTACACCATTGAGTTAACTGTTTCTTGCTGTGTTAATGAGGTGTGACAACTTGAACCGACGCATGTATGTGCATGGTCCTACGTTGTAACTGACTGACTATCACCATTCTCGTTCCTTTCTCCTAGTCACTCCATGTCGTCCCAAGATATATTCATACCCGGTGTTGTCCATTCCGACGTTGGTGTTTAGGTCTCTCATAGGGATGGTCAGGTCCTTTCCTGAGCACTTATCTACGACTGACTCCAGTCTCTCCTAAAGCTGACATTTATCGTCTTCATTTCTATCATTTATTAGTACATAACACTGGATAACATTCATTGTGATTCACTCCTTCTTTGTTTTGAGGGTTCCTATAAGCGTTTTTCGTGCTTCATTGGGTAGCATCAGTGCAACTCCTTGTGTAGCAAAGCATTTTCTTGTTCATAGTCACAGTATAGCACCACCTCTACCAAATTTAATCTCTTCTGTGCAGCTTGGGTCCAATGGATTTCACTGATTCCTAGCACCGCCAAGTTGTATATCAACATCTCCGCAGCTATTTGATTAGTCTTCCTGATTTCACACATTGGCCGAACGTTGTTAGAAGGGACATCAGCCTCGTGGCTTCCGAAGAATTATGGCTTTTACCATGAGGTATTATAATTGTTGCAAATGAAGATCCTTCAACCTCCAGTTCAGAGCTTAATTGGCTTAAATGATTTATTCTGGTTAGCGTTTTTTAAGCTAGGTTGTTTTCCACGGGAAGGGGTTGCTGACTTCAAACCCTACCATACTCCCTTATCCGGGCTGGAGACTTACAGTAACCGTAGAAGGTCTACATGTGGGACTGGGTTCTGAGGCAGAAACCTACTATTATTGTTCTCTTCTCTAGATCTCAAATTCCTGGTTTTGATATCGATACCAGGCAAGGTCGATAGTGATCACTTTCAATCAGTTTCAGACCAAAAGATAACAGCTCCTTCAACCAGCCATTTATAAATAACATAAAACTAGGTGCCTATATACATCAGTTCAGACTCGCACAACTTGTCATCACAGCGAGATAAGATAACCAAAACCGATACCGCATATTACTGTTAATAGTTTGATAAGTAATTTAGCAATTCTCCATAAAAATAAAATTCTGTTTACTTTCTATACTTCCATTTAGACTGTCACCTGGATTCAGTAAGCTATCTATGGAGGAATTGGAAAGTTGGAAAAGAACTCATGAAACTCCAACTGAATGGCGCATAAGGCGATCGTTTTTGGAAAAAAATTTTAATAAATTACACCCTGAACGCTTGGAGTGTCTTTCACATTGTTTTACTAATGCTACATTGTACAAAGTCAAATATCCAGAAAAAGTCATGGAAGAGGTATTAGAAAATTTAATTTTTGTAACCTGATTAATGTTTCAATTAGATCAACCTTCTTGGGGAAGGAATTGAAGAAGCCAATACTTGTGAACAGAGTAAAAATTTCAGTTGACGATAAATCGGAGTTATATATATCAACATTTTTGTAATTTATTATGATGCGAATTTCTAGCGGACATGTTTTTCTACTATTCTAACCGGATAGTTGAAGTAATGTGTATCGTCAATATATATTTCAACACGTACTTCTTGACTGTTGTTTCAGAGATTAGATGTTCTTGTATCATTATGAAGGCAGCTGTCACTTTCCGTCTGCTCACACCATGAAAAGGCATTCTTCCTTGGGTTACCTGAAAAGGAAACTGTATTAGTTGTGATCTGAGAGTGTGACCACACAACCCAAGAGACAACTGCTTGTGGTAGATCATACAGCCTTTTTGTGGAGAGATAGCTTCGCACTTTGAAAGCCATTACCACCAGAGACGGAAATCAGTGTCGCAAGGTAAAGTATGCTACTTTTAGGATTTGACAGCAACCTCTATGTGGATGCTTATCCGCCGCCTACACTGAAGAGCGGTACTTGGTAGTGCAGAGGTAGGTTAAGAAAGATAAGAGTGCCGTCAGTTCGTGAGGTCACTGCTTACTGGTCTAATCCATGTTGATAAATGCAAAAATCTTCGAGAACGAGGACGTTTAGATATAGTCGAATTTCCACCAAAGACGAGCCGCTGTATAAGTATAAAAGAGGGTGAATAATGTGGTAAATAATAATTTGGATCATTTGATTGTTATTCAAAGCAAGAAAAGTAGTTTCCATAGATATAGAGAGTTCATCTTTTTCTTCACGCTCCTTACCTTTTTTTCTTTCTCTTCGAATTCTCATTGTTTTGTGTGGCGCATATATATTGGCGCTCTCTTGTACCAGTATTTATGTGTTCAAATAAATAAATAAAATAAATTCAGACCACCTGGTTGTAGTCTGTGTGGTAACTGGTAACATGGCTCGGGATCGTTCACAGTGGCGCAGATTCATCCACGCTCTATCTTCTGGATTATGAATTCCGGTATTCCTTCGTTCATACCTTCCTATTGTATTTTTAAACCATATTCCCAACACTTAGTCTTCTTCATCATGATTGTTACTACATTACTTCGATCTCTTCTGTTACTTTATTCCCGTCAAGTCAATCGGGTTTGAAAAGTTGGGCCAAAGAAATCTGTCTGTCAGAAATTAAGTTAGAAACGTTCTTAAAAGTTTTCACAAAAATACCGGACGTTGCAGTTCATCAGTTTGCTAGTCTTTAAATTAGTTCAACGATGATTTGTGGTATAGTTTAGTGAAAAAGTTTATACGTTGATCATATAAATCGGTCTTTGCAGCGATTGAATGTAATTATTGTAATAACACATTTATGATGTAAGAATATTACTCCTGCTCATCATTTCCACTAATCTTATTTCCTTTGTCTCTGATTGTCCACTTACTACAAATAATTTATATATTTATTGTTAAAAAGGTCGTCTTAGTTACACTGTACACTTCTGTCAGAAATATTATTCACTGTGAAGATTGTACCGACAAACCTCATAGACATGTTTTTTTTTAATGTCCTGATTAAATATTATCAGTACAAAAAGGTGTTTTATTTCACTACGGTATAGTCAAAAATTCATTCACTTGGGGATTGTTTCCTTAAGTAAGTATCTATTCAGTTATATCAATCAAAATGAGCTACCTCAGAATCCAGTTAATCGAATTTTCTTTCATATTACACATTTGTGCGAACTCTGATTACTAGGTACTCTTTAAGTAATAAAAGTATTTAAACAGCATTAATGCATCAATGTTATGTGTATGCAAATAACTATACTCGCAAATTTTGAGAAATAAACCAGTATATTCGTAAACAGTTAGTTAGTTTTCCCAGGTAGAACAGTTGAATACTCTTTGATAAATATTAAAACGCATTATTCCCATATTATTACTGAAACATAATTATGTAATTTGATAACGATTTTATGCTCATTACTGACTAGTTTCGAATTAGATTTCTCAAAATTCTCGTGACCTGCGGAGTTAGCGAGGCCAGTAGTGGGACAGTTACTCAATAAAGCCGTTAAATTGACTTTACGCGAAACTGTCAATTCACTGAGACTTAAAATTTCTATACTTCTTATCTAGTCTTTCCTCGTTTAATTTTTCCATTGTAATTTGGATCTACTAGCCAATCGTTTTGGTCGTCTTCGTCTGTGATAAACCTGTGTGCCTCCCCTATTAGTTATAGCTTCTTGGCTAATACAATTAGTCGGAATAGATCAAATAGCATTATTCCATTAGGTTTTTTTATTCAATTTTAATTTGTATGATGCAAAATTATCGAATCATATCATGTAGCATTCATCAACATGAGTTCTTTGTAAGACAAAAGAAACAATAGTCCATAGATCTGATTTTAAAACGTCTAAGTTTATCATTTACTTAAATATACCGAAATGGGATTGCATCTCAACGTTGGTGCGAGTACTTATTGTCAGGAACACTGTCATATTTTCAGCAATTGTAGTAGATATCAATATACTCTCTATTCTTAATCTTGAGAAAGAGTAGTCATTTGTAAAGTTGGGAAATATTATTTGGATCATAAGATTACCAACGGCGAGACTATAATTTATGGACGAACCAACCACATCTTGGATGTTGGCGCGGAATTCATTCAGCTATTTGTCTAAATAGTGTTTTAGCTTATGTCAGTTTGTGATGAAAACCATGAATCTAATTCTTAACCTTAACCATCAGCTGTAAATCATAATCCTTCTTTTTCAAACTCCTTTACAACCATCATTTAGCCCTATTAAGTAGGTGGACATTCTCAAGGTCACTGTGGCGTCGCTTAAAAGTCGTCCATAAATTAGTCTCACCATTACCAACTAATAAAAGTTGGAGAATCAGTTAGTTTGATTTACTTATAAATTAAAAAAAATTGGTTTCCGCCTACGTTCACCAAAGTGTGGACGCATAAACTTATCATCTAACATTGTCCCAAAACTTTAAAAGGGACTATCTCTGACAGGTTATATATTTTTCTATCTCTGATATATACGTCTATATATAGGATGTATAAATATAAACTTGAGTACAATGGATGCCCATATATTCTTTTCAAAAACAAAACAAGATGTAAAACTAGAGGAAGAGAAAACAAAGAAAATACGGCGAAAAAACTAATCGTGACATGTTAAAGAATAAGCTCTCAAAGGACAAGAAAAAATATGAATAAGTAACAAAAATAAATCTCTAAAAAAGGCGTCCAAGTTTTATAAAAAAAAGAGAATGTTTCAATTCTAATATCATTGAATAATAATACATCCCCTTCTCTGTGTCATGTACACTCAAACTTTGAATTTCTGTTTTACTTAGCTTAATTTATTCAATCATATCAGTGGGGGTAATCGTAGTAGAAAAAGAAAGAGAAGAGGAAGGTTTATCGCAATTTAACGAAGAATCCTGATTACTATCTATATCATTTATTCTTTTGATTACTTTTTCGAAAATATATGTCCATGGAGCAATAGCAGATGATTCGTTGGACGTATTCTCATAATTCATAAAACCAGTCGATACAAAGTTAAACTGTTCAGATGTGGTTTTCGATAGCTAAAAGCAAAAACAGTAAAGAATTAAAATGTTGATCATATTTTACACAACAAACAATTATGTTGATGAAATCAAGAGTTTCTCTTATTTTACAACAAAACCATAAATAACAGTAAATTGAATTCGTGATTCAAAGGTTGATTATCCGTTAAAAGAAATCAATTTATATTTTGTAATCGACACAGTCCAATATGATACTGATTAGCATGGTGTTAATGCTCATTTTTTGAAATTCTAGAACACGGTTCAAATGTAACCGGAAGTATGAGATCTATGGTTTATGTGCTGCGACACTTTTCTGAAACTAAAAATAATTTATTGTTAGAGACTCGGAATTAACATCACTCAATACTGTAACAAAGGATATTTATTATCTTTGGGTTAATGAAGTCAAACAATCTGCAAACCCAGAGAAGGATTAGATGAGAAACAGGATTCTTTTCAATCATAAATAACGATTGTTTCGCTAACCACTATCAGAATTTCTGCGCCTCCCAATATGTGTCAAACTGCCAGTTGATGATTCCACAGGCCATCCTTCAGGGAGATATAGTGTGATGAAACGGTGGTGAATTCAAAATTAGTCAGTATTAGCGATAGTGATGAATAAAACGAAAATGTACAACTGAATCACAGTGTTGTTATTAAGTACGAAATATAATGTATTTACGAAAATACACTTTGTATCAACTTACTCCTAATTCCTGGAACAATTCAGATTGTGGTATATCTATAATAGATTTCCATGAAGAATAACTACACAACTCTTTGGGGGTTATTTGGTTGTCACTAAGTCCTTTGGTCTTCAAAGGATTTGGTACTAAATCGAAGTACTCTTCTTTTATTTCCCTCTTTTCTTCAATAGAACTGTTCATTTGGGCTTCATAGTTTAATACAGATAAACGTCTACTTTCAGTGATTCGTAATAATTCATAAAAACTTATTCGACTACTATCATGTGGATTGCAATCGATTCTCATTGTGTCATTATCATCATCATTTGTATAGTAATCTGGAATAGTATTTTCGGATGACAAGTTAACAGTTGAATTTGCAATATGTATATCAGTGGAATTAGTATAATGATAAGATGGATTGGTTTCATCAATATTTTGACGATGTGCTGTACGCAAAGCATTGAGAAATATCTGAGTAATTACAGGAGTATCTAATTTGTCTGTATTTGTAGGGAAAATTAATGATGATTGCAGTGCGGTACAACTATTTGTTATATCATCATTACATTGAATTAGTGAACAGATAATTGGTAAAGTAGTGTTAAAAGCATTTTCAACTGTAATTTTGTTTACATGGTAATCACAAGAATAATCAGACTGTAGAAAGTCCTGTCCAACAAGATCATTTGACGACAGATATCTGTAAATATAAAGCGAAAATGGCTAGCTTTAAAATTCAGATAATAAAATAATAACCAAATAGTTTATATGATTGAGAAT